GATTTTTTTTTAAAAAAAATCAAATCTTTGCCGAGTGCCTAACAGCAGGCACTCGGCAAAGAAGGCCGTGACCGAACGCCGTTACGCGGGCAGCCTATGCTGAGTGCAGAGATTTTGTCGAGAGTCTGGCACTCAGCAAAGAAGGCCTTTACCGAATGCCATTTTTTTGCCGAGTGCAATTCTTTGCAGAGTGCCCGATTTTTGACACTCGGCAAAGAATTTTGCACTTAGCAAAGTCTCTGTTTCCAGTAGTGATAGGAGTTTGATTCAGCCTACAGATACACGGCCTGTTCGGGAGGCCGTAAACGATCGTGGATTATTTACTGCTGGTTGGTTTTGTGTGAGAGAAAAACACTGTTCCGGCTGAAAATTTACGATCGTTTACGATCAAGCGAACAGGCTGACAAACTGCAATGGTGAGGTGATGTCTTGCAACGTACATGATATGATGCTTGATCTTATCCTCCATAAATCCCAAGAAGAGAATTTTGTCACCGTAATAGATGATATATAAGACATGACAGGACAACAAGACAAGATTCATCGACTCTCTCTCAACCTGGGTGGTACAGTAGGTGATAGGGTTACAGGATGTGTCCAGCTATCCCAAACAAGAACACTGGCAATATTTGGAACCTCTTCATATTTACCTCCTTTTCAACTGTTCAGGTATCTCCGTGTTCTCGGAATTGAAATTACAGTACAGTCCTATCCACCATTGTTACTAGACTTTATTGAGGAGAACTCTATGGAACCGTTACGCTCCTCCGCCCCCGCCCCCGCCCCCGCCCCCGTACGCCGCCCACCAGCCAAGATCCGTCGCCGCCGGCTGCGGCCCCCGGTCACCGCCACTAGTAGAGAAATGGGCTGTAGTCCAGGTTGGGAACTGGCTTTAGTCCCGGTTTCCCAACCAGGACTACGAATCCGGGACTAAAGGTCCTGGCCTTTAGTCCCGGGTCACATAACTGGGACTAAAGGTCCATCATCAGGAGAAAAATAAACGAAATTATAGGGAGACCTCTCTTGCGATGTGTGAGATTCGAACCTAGGACCTCTTTCCTCGCGCATAAACTCCTTACCAATTCAGCAGTACACCACATGTGACAGGGTCCTGGACACTCTCCTTTTGAATTGACCTTTGGGGTACCTTTAGTCCCAGGTGGGAGACCTTTAATCCGGGTTGGTGACACCAACCGGGACTAAAAGGTCACCCTTTAGTCCGGATTGGTGTTACCAACCAGGACTAAAGGTTGAAGGACCTTTAGTCTGGGTTGGTAACCCACCAACCGGGACTAAAGGTGGCCTGCTATGAAAGCGTGCCAGGACAGGAGCCTTTAGTCCCTGTTAGTAGCTCCAACCGGGACTAATTCTTCCTTTACTCCCGGACGCAAAAAATACCGAGACTAAAGCCCAAAATCGAAGCGGATGAAAGGTCATTTCTCTACTAGTGCGCGTGATTCAGCGTGCTCCCCTCCCCGCGGCCGTCCTCCCCATCCCACTCGCGTTGCTCGTGGTGGCTCACAGCCACAGATCGAGCCCGTCTCCCACCACTGCTCGCCCCGTGCGTCGCCTCCCCGCCGCCCGGTCCCCGGCTCGCCCGCCATTGCGCCCGCTGCGGCTCACGACACGTCCTTAGTCCCCATCCCGGTCGCTGCGGGGCTGGACCTCCGCCTTGACGCAACCACCACCACTCCCGCTGCTGTTGCTGCCGGGTCGGACAAGACAAGAAGCACGTCGACCAGGTGCGTCAAGTTCGCCTCCCCCTCTGCATCCGGCCGGTGAGGTGTTACTGCTCCGCCAGCACTACGCCTACTAAATCTTGCCTCAGATCCGCTACGGAAAGGCATAGCGCTCAATCCGCCGGGCTCTCATCTCCACCGCTCCAGTCTGCATCGCCAGGCTATGAAGCGGATTTCCCTTCCAGAGGGGAGCGACTTAGAGCTGTCACCGGGGCGTGGCAGAAGGCCGGTGGGGCGCATTCACGCGCGAGCCTCGCGTTAGAAGATGAAGACGGTTGTTCAATAGTGCGCCCGAGACGCTGGTGGCGTCTCCCCAAGTTCAAAACCACGACGCATTCAACGCCCTCAACCACCCAGGTCGAATCGGCACGCCAACTCCACAGCGAGGAACTACAGCGGCGCTTGAGAGGTAAATGCTTCCATTGTCTCTCCCCTGGCGACGCCGCGGCGAACTGCAGGGACCCGGTACACTACTTCTCTTGTGGCCACTAGGGGCATAAAAGCAATGTGTGCAATGGCAGATCATCATCCTCCAGGCACCAACCCCGCCTGCCCAAGACTGCTCCTCCTCCCCTCGATGACACCAACTTCCCACCTCTACGAACGAGCGTGATGGCCAGGCCCGAGGACCCTCTGTCCATCCCCTGGACACCTATGTCGTCACCTTCTCCATCGACAATATGGACCATGAGCTCGACCGCCTCTCCATGTATGGCATGGTGGCCTGGCTAGGGGGGAACCGGCCGGTGGTGGAGCCGGAGGTCATCAAGAGGGCCATCTGCCACCAGTTTCTGGTTCGTCCGGAGGATGTCACCGTCGTCAGGCACGCACCCGAAGACTTCTTCATCGACTTCAAGCACCGCCACCACCGCGACGAGGCTGTGGCACGGGGGACCTTCACCTATCGCAACCTCGACATCCACACAAGGCCATGGCAGCTAGTGACGCACGGTGACATCTGCGACCTCAAGTACCACGTTCGCCTATGCCTAGAGGGCATCCCCCTCCACGCCTAGAACCAGAGCATCGCCAAGAGGGCAGTCGCCAGAGCTTGCGACCTCGACTACGTCGAGAAGTCTTCGCTGGACCGTGCCGACACCAGGGCACTCTATGACTAGGCCTGGATGCACAACCCGTCCGACATTCCAAAGGTAACATAGCTGACATTGTCGTGCAGGAAGGCAGATGCCCACAGTTCGTAGACTGCTCGCGGCCGTCGGGGACTCACCTTCAGGGTGCTAGTGCACCTTGACCTGGTGGAGGACCCTCCTGATAGACACGGACGTGCTGTTGCTGCCCGGGTCTACACATGGGACTACAGAGTTGTGGATGGAGAAAGGACGCCGTGCGACCGCCACGACCCTCCGCTGGCTGACATCCATGGCAGTCATCGCGACGATGACAACGACCGTCGTGGACGCCGTGAACGCCAGGGTGACAACTGGTACTCGCGGCTCACCCGCAGCCTTTCGTGGGCGCCCAAGGACTGTGAGCGGGAGCGCTCGGAGTCTAGGCACGGAGGATGTCGACACCGAAGCCCGAAACGTGGAGGTCGTCGACACCCACTACGCGACGTCGCTGCTGGCCGCAGTGCCCACCAATCTGCCCCAGGCGATGCTGCAAGCGCTAGCACGTGGGCTCGGTAGCAGCTCACCATGCCTGCTGACCCTGGCCGCCCGGTGGATGTCCACCACAGAACCAGGGGCCAGAGTAGGGAACGAACGCCCCACCGAAGGCCGCATAGGCACGCGCGCTCGGAGCCGAGGACCATAATGGCGCGCTCAAAATCCCCGTCACCACGCCTGTGCTGCAAGTCACCTGACTTTAGCGGTGGCAACGGCAACAACCACCACCCATCACCAAGTCCTCCCAAGGTGCGTGCTAACAACAGTCAATGCGATGATCCGCCCTTCATCCCTTCGGTCTCTGCTCCTCCAACCTGCGAGCCGAACGTCCCACCTGTTACAGCTACGCTGAGCATGGCCGCACCACCAAGCAACTCTTCTTCGGTGCCGCTGACGGGAACTGTATCTCCATCTTGTCTGAATGAACTGCAGGTTCCCCCCATCAGCGACCATGACATCACGACACAACAGCGATCATGCCTCGCGGCTGATCTTCGCTTCCACAAGGGCTAGGTCTACTCCAGGCGGCCATGTGCTCCCCGCACGCACCGCAACCACACACAACTGGCCGAAAGCACCCAGGTGGTGCGTTTCCGCCCTAGCATCGTCTACTCCAGGCGCTGTGTCCGCGGTATGGCCAGCAACTGCTCTCGCCGTCCATGCATGGCAAATGACCTCCAGCACCAACTGCCAGAACACAATAGCACCGCCCTGGAGGTAAACGACGCTGGCCAAAGCATGCCTGTCATTACAGCACCGGTGTCTGAATTCCTATAGGGGATCTCACAGCCTCTACCTCCACCCATCTTGCAGGTCCCGGTGCGCCAGCACAGCCCACCACAGTGACGCAAGAGGCCCTTGGTCCCGGCACGCAGGAGCATCCGCATAGCTGCCATGAACTAGCCAAGGGGTGACACTAAGGCGAAGGCCAGGCAAGTGCTGATGAAAAGGCTGGGCATCCTCGACATGGAAGGACTCAGCCATGACAAGGCGTTACTGCGCTACTTCAGCCTGTTCAAGGGACCACTTACCGATGACACCGTGAAGGCACTAACGGCTTTGAGCGGCCTCGATGCTGCGGCAGCGCTGCCCACTATGCATGCCTAGATACTGTTGACGCACATGGGTAGAGCAATGTAATAATGTTAGTGATCGATTACCGCTACGGGAGCTCTAGGAGCTCCACATCTTTTGTGACCGTCCAGTCATGTTGCTTGGGTGCGGCGATAGCCAGAGGCCTACAGTCGCCTACCCACCACACTACAAGGGCTCATCATCTGGTAGTTAGTTGTAGCAAAAACTCAATGAGCAAAAAACACTTGCTTTGTATCACTGCGCCGACAGCCACTGGCTTTCAGATGTATCGGCCACTCCAAGTTGATGCTTTCATGCCCATATGCCTCTGTGTGCTTATCTCTGTGCTTATCGCCTCTACCACAGCAACAAACGACTTCCTGCTTGTCTCCCTCCAAAGAATTATTTTAAATAGGGGCCCATTGGTTGACATATGGCACAGCTGAATTGTCAGATACTTAACTAGAACGTCAGGGGTTGGAATGATGACGCCCGACAAGACTCGGTCAGTGAGTTAGTGAGAACCACTGGTGCCACCATCGTATGTCTATAAGAAACAAAGATGCAAGTTATGGATCATAATGTGGTGCGCCGAACAGTCAGAGCAAAATTTGTAAACTCCTATATTGTGCTCCCGGCGGAACAGACACGAGGAGGCATCTTCCTTGCGGTCAATGAAGACTTCTTAGACCTCTCCGACATTGTACTTACCGCGAACGCTATAACCGCGCAGATCAACATGAGGGCAGATGGAACAAGGTTGCAAATTACAGTGGTATATGGCCCGCAAGGAGAGGCAGCCAAACTTCAATTCCTCCAAGAACTGAAGAACATTCCACCGCCGGAGAATGATAGATGGCTCATCGTGGGAGATTTCAATCTCATCTACCAGGCGGAAGACAAGAACAACTCCAATCTAAACCGCCGCCTCATGGGGGCATTTAGAGCGACGATCGATCATTTGAGGCTCAAAGAAATCAAGCTAAATGGACGCCGCTTCACTTGGAGCAATCAACAGGAAAACCAGACGCTCACTAGAATTGACAGACTATTATGTACCCCCAAGTGGGAGTTGTTCTTCCCCTCGTGTTTCTTACACTCCCTTCCATCGCTCATGTCGGACCATACCCCGCGGATACTCTAGGGAGAACTTGACCACCATCACAACACATCATTCCGCTTCAAAAATTACTGGACTAAGATGGAAGGCTTCCAAGATCTTGTCCAAAACACTTGGAATAGGCCGGTCGCCTCAGCTCTTCCAATCAAACGCTTGCATATCAAAATAGCGCGTGTGGCAAAAGGTATCAAGCGTTGGAAGAAAGAAAAGATAGGGGATACGAGGATGCGGCTCGCCATAGTGAAAGAAGTTCTGCTACAATTAGAAGCAGCCCAAGAGCATAGGTTGCTCACTGCCATGGAGCTTCAACTATGTCACCGCCTCAAAGCCCGTAGCACTAGGCTCGTAGCCATCGAAAAATCAAGAATCAGACAGAGATCGAGACTAACATACATTCGATGTGGAGATGCTAACACTAAGTTCTTCCACAGTAGAGCCAACGCACGCCGGAGAAAGAATTACCTATATTGTCTACATACGGATGGGGGATCGCTGTGGCTCATCAAGAGAAAGAAAAGGTGATTCGAGATTATTTCAAAAATCACATTGGCTCCATGGTGCCGAGAGCTTCCACAGTAAATTGGCAATCCCTTGGCTACAACCAACACGATCTCTCCGATCTGGAGGTGCCTTTCTCCCAGGAAGAGATAAAAAACACTATATATTCCATGCCTTCCGACAAAGCACCAGGACCGGATGGCTTCACGGGTGCCTTCTTCAAAGCTTGCTGGGAAATCATTAAGGATGATGTTATGGCAGCCATGAACAGCCTATTCACATTGAATGCCCAGGGCTTTGAATGGCTAAACTCGGCTTGCATCATCCTTCTACCCAAAAAAACGGATGCAACAAGAGTTACTGATTTTAGACCCATCAGCCTCGTCCATAGCATTGCAAAGATCTTCTCCAAGGTGTTAGCTAACAGACTTGCCCCTCGACTGAACTCCCTCGTCTCCAACTGCCAGAGCGCATTTATAAAAAAGAGAAGCATCCATGATAATTTCCTTTACGTCCAGGGCGCGGTACAAAGGCTACACAAGCAGAAGATACCGGCTTTGTTCATGAAACTAGACATCCACAAAAGCTTTTGATACGGTATATTGGGGGGGTACCTGCTCGAGATTCTATAGGCTCTGGGCTTCGGACAGCGATGGCGTGAATGGATCTCTATCCTTCTACGTACATCCACTTCCACACCCTTGCTTAATGGGCGGCAGGGTGCCGCTTTTAGCCATGCCAGAGGCGTCCGGCAGGGAGATCCACTCTCACCCATGATATTCATCATAGCTGTGGACCTGCTTCAATGTTTGCTTGACCGGGCAACCGATCATGGGATACTCACCCCCTTACCAATCACGGCGGCAAAATGGAGAACCTCCATGTATGCGGATGATGCTGCCATTTTCATCAGCCCCACAAAAGACGATGTTGAAGCCGTCAAAACCATCCTACAGGCTTTTGGCACATTCTCGGGACTCCATATTAACCTACAAAAGAGCTCAGTGCATCCGATCAGCTGCGCAAACGTTGATCTAGACCAAGTCCTCTCACCTTTCACCGATTCTAGAGGGAGCTTCCCATGCAAGTACTTGGGGCTGCAACTCCACATCAGATCACTGCAAAAGATCCACGTGCAACCTCTCATAGACCGTATTGGGCAGAGGTTACCCAAGTGGAAAGGAAGATGGCTTAACAGAGCGGGACGCCTCACTCTAGTAACATCAGTCCTCTCCTCCATGCCAACCTACCACCTGACGGTGTTTCCTCTCACTGCATGGGCTAAGAAAAAGATCAACAAAATTAGGAGATCGTTCCTGTGGAAGGGGGAGGAGAATGCCAATGGCGGACACTACCTTGTTAACTAGCCAACAGTTACCAGGCCAAAAGAACTTGGTGGTTTAGGCGTCCCCGACCTTGATAGATTTGGGAGAGCCCTCCAGTTACGATGGCTTTGGCAGCAATGGGTGGACGATTCCAAGTCTTGGAACGGCTCCGAGCTTCCAAGTTCTGATGATGATCGTCTCCTATTCAACTCCTCAATCATTATAACTTTGGGGGACGGTGCAAAGACTAAGTTTTGGCACCACAATTGGCTCGATGGACAAGCTCCTAGGTACCTAGCCCCGAACTTGTTTTGCCTAGTTTCATGGAGAAACCGAACGGTGCAACAAGAGCTCCGGAACAACAATTGGATGCACAAGCCAGGAAGGAAAATCACCTCGGCTGTCCACGTAGAGGAGTTTGTGTCCCTTTGGATACGGATACAAGATGTGCACCTACAACAGGGCGTCTAGGACACCATCATCTGGCGGTGGACCAATGATGGGAACTACTCCACTCGTTCGGCCTACAGAATACAATTCAAAGGCTCGCTCGTCCCTTTCCGTACGGACTTGATCTGGAAAGCGCAAGTGGAGAACATATGCAAGATCTTCTCCTGGATCTTAGTGCAAGATAAAATTCTAACGGCGCAAAACCTACAGAGGAGAGGGTGGCCACACCAACATCAATGCGTGCTCTGCAATGGTCCCTTAGAGACCGGCCTCCACCTATGCCTATGTTGCCCCTTCGCAAAGGCCGTTTGGGATCAAATCCTCTCGTGGGAAAACTTCACTCAGCTTCAACAGCAACCCCAAGTGGACCCCACCAATATCAAGTCATGGTGGGAAGAGGTGGCGAGGAAAGTGCGAAGATCCGAGCGTAGGCGGCTTAACGGGGTAGTAATCTACACCTTTTGGAATATTTGGAAAAAGAGAAATAGGAGAATCTTCGACAACAAGATAGAAACGGCGCCGCAAGTGGCCGCAAGGATAAAGGAAGACATAGAGCAAAGGAAGAGAGCACTCGCTTATGTGTAGTTGTTGCCCCCACCCCTTTTGGGCCATGCGTTTCCCTACTTTGCATGCTTGTGGGGGTTTGAAACCCTAATCTCGAGTGCCTTTGTTTGTACATAAACTTTCTTTTCCCCATCTTAATTGAAAGGCAGAACTCTTGCCATTGCGTTCAAAAAAAACTAGACTTTACTGAGATACATCATCTATTTCAGTTGAGATATTTAAAGATTGTAGCAAAAGGTCATGAGGTGGTGTTACCTAGTAAAATTGGGAGTATGCAGCAATTGGAAACATTTGAAATCAATGCTACTATAAAATTGTCTAAGGGACAATCATTTCGTGAACTACCATCGGATATAGTTCATTTGAGCCGGTTATCACATCTGATTATTCCATATGGACATAATATTGCCAAACGGGATCCGTAACATGAAATCCTTGCGTACTCTACACTACTTCAATTTACGTAACTCACCAAACAGTATCAAGGGTCTGGGGGAACTGGCCAATTTGACCAATCTTAAAATCATATGTAATTTTGGTGAAAAGGCAAATGATGAGATAGTGGAGAAAGGAAGGGAAGTTCTGCAGACTTGCCTTTTAAAGATTTGCAGCCTCAAATATCTATATATGAAAATTTATTGTGACAACAATCTCTACATTGATGCGTTGAGTTCAACACCCGCTTCTTTCCGTCATCTCCAGATATTCCATGGACACAAGTTCTCAAGGGTTCCTGCGCTGGATGGATCATCCAACTCCATAACCTCTATGACCTGCGTCTTTTTGTTAAGCAAGTGCTTGAGGAAGATGTTGGAATTCTTGCACAGCTGCCCTCAGTTATCAACCTGGAGTTGTTCATCAAAGGAACTCCTGAAGATGAGATCATCATCCATATGGAAGTGGATTCCCTGTTCTGAAGCATTTTCAATTTAGCTGTAGCAGGATATCATGCCTGGCCTTTGTGGCAGGGGCAATGCCCAAGCTTGAAATGAAGCTCGAGCTACGTTTTAATGCCAGGGGGTGGGATAGGTATGGCGCTGCACCTACTGGAACCGAGCACCTGTCAAGCCTCAGGGAAATCTACGTATGTATTGGGGGCGCGGATGCCAGGGAATCCAACAGAAGAGCTGCAGAGTCCGCGTTGAGGAACGCCATAGACATGCACCCAGGTGGACGTGTAGCCAACATCAAGTGTGATGCCGATTTACAGTGACTATTTGAGGACTCAAGAATTGAAGATGATGAGCGGGAGGAGGATGATGATGTGAGCAACGGCGGCACTTGAAAGACGAATGCAAGCTGGTAAGTAACGCTTTCATCCCACTTCATTAATTACGATACTAGCATGCACGTGGCAAAAGCAATTAGTGCTACTATATAAGCTAGCTAGACGTAAATATTACGAGTAGCATGCCTAAATTTATTTATTTATTTTTCAGACTTGATAATCCTGTAGACGCGTGCTGTTGGTTCTTAACGTACCTGCAGCATCACCTGAGGTGTGGCGTGGGATTGTTGAGTTGGAACCATGCATCTGCCAGCTCATTTTATTTCTTGTAATAATAATCATCATATATATGGATTGTAAATGTACCGATTCATGCTTCTCTCTTGGTTATTGCTACGTTATGCTATGCTAGTAAAATTATTAGCTAGTTGAACTTTATACCTCTGTTTGTGAGAATGCTCTATTTTTCTGTCAAGAATGCTTCGTTACATTGGTGGGGCTAGGCCTATTCCTGGCCCTGATTGTCGCCTAAGCTGTCCGCTTCTTGGATTATATATACTTAATACACTATTTCAAAAGTTAAATCATGCCACATCACTAATCCCAGTTAAGTAACAGATCAAGCACATAAATCAGCTGGAAGCTCGTCGCACCTCACGGAAATCTGACTGACTGCTGAGATATACATACATGCACCAGTATCAAAGACATGATCACATTCGAGTCATCAAAGACAAAGAAAACCACGAGTCTTCAAAGCAAGCAAAACCAGCCGACCTTTGGTGGTTACTCAGTTTGCAGAAAGAGTTACCATCAATCAACTAACATGGTAGATAGATTCGAGTTTTGGTGAATTTCGTACATTTGAGTGAAGTGCCCGGCCGTTACAATGTAGCATCCATTAGAGCAAAATGCACCAACAAGGCGCGCAGGGCAAGTCAGCAAAACATATATAGTCA